TCAATGGCAAATCATGAAATCTAACACCTCCACTAAGAGACACTAGTCTTATTGTAAAGAATTCTCTCAATCACAAGCATTTTCCTCGTCTAAATTTTAAGAAAGTTAACAGGTTAATCATGCTATTAAAATCAATATATATATATATATATATATATATCTTTCGATTTCAATAACTTATAATAACAAGGCTTAATGTATGCAGGTAGACAAAAAGAGAACAACCAACAGTTGATCAAAATTTGTAATTAGTACATAATGAAGTTGCCAATATCTAAAGCTTACATCAAACCTTAATAATACAAGCCGTTCAATTCAAGTTCACTAGGAGAAAAAATTAATGCCTGTTGCACAAAAGTTTGCTGCAGCCAAAATGTACCTATATCCACTCATAAACCAAAACCATAGAGCATTAATAAAACTAAATAAAACCTCACCTAGGATCTTCTCATCATATTTGCCAGGTATTAAGTTGCAAGTGCTTTCTCACTTTCTCTTTCAGGAATTGGTTAAGACCCTGCAAACTGATTCACCTCTTACGCACCAGTTTAACCTGTAAACAAATTTCATGATAAGCTGCAATTAAAACAACAGCGTGATCCTAAGTAGCAGGGATACCTGAACCTGCAAAACTTGTAATGCGTGTAAGATCACAGAGTCCATCTATTTTCATGGATAAAAAGTAAAGGGAAAAAGGGTTTATAGAAACTAAACCAATACAGAACCATGGTTGATCGTTCTCTAGCCTGAATGTGCAGTGACCACAGAGCCCTGACTGTAATTTTGTGCATATAAATACTAAACAACATACCAAAAACACATTTCATGCACACAATACAACACACATAAAATATTCACATTTTTAAAGCAGTTGATAAAAGAGAAAAGACTATTCCCTTCAGTGCTGGGTTCTTAGTTGACACAGAGTCATGCAATTAGTTGCAAGACCATTTGCTAGTGGTGTGACTGAATCCTGAAAGCATGCAGATGTGATGCCCCTGGATATTGTAACTTGTGATAAAAATGAATACCCAAGATTCTGAAATTCACTTATGGGAACTCATAAATACATCATGAAACTGTAGTATATCTCCTAACTGATATGATGGAGGCCACAAAAGATTCAGCCTCCGAAAGAAATTGGCTACCATAAGCTTGAATTGAGGTTATAGAACTTTTGAGTCCATAAAATGATGATAGATTCTCCAGGAAAAAAGAGAAAATACTCTTTAAGACAACTATCATGAAGGAATACTTCAAAGAAAAAAAGTATGAGAAAAGATACTGCTCAGCGATTTAAGGAGGAAAAATTTCGGCGGACGAGATGTTTTCAAAATCATCATGCAGTCGAGCACACAACCATGCAACATTTGAAAAGACAACTGAAGAGAAGCAAAAGGTAAGATGAAAAAATTTTCACATTCCATATGACAGAATTGTGAACCTGCACACCACCTGCACAGTGGAAAATGGGCTGTAAGCTATATTTATTGAACTGGTGGTCTCAGCTAAAACGTAACTTAACAGAACTTTCTATAAGGAGTAAGGAAACATCAAAATCTTCAAGTTTAGAGAATACAAACCAGAAACTGTCAAAACACATCAGTCTTCGTAGTCTCCTTGCTCCGGTGGCTGTTGCTGATATCCATATCGCTTACTACCATATTCCATATACCCATTGGAACCACTTTCATGGTTATCGTTACCAGAATCTGTATTAGCTTTGGCAGTAATTTCTTGCTGCTCCCGTTCCCTGTTCCATTGCTCAATTTTGGCACGTCTCTCCTCACTGCCTTCCCTGACCGGGCTGCGGTTCCTCCTTCCTCCGGGGCTTCTGCTACGCTCTCTTCGATGTCCAGGGCTGGTGCTTCTATGCCTGCCACCCCAACTCTGGTGATTGTGTTCCCTGTCATCATACCTTCTGCTATGACCATGCCGTCCATGAGAACGCTCTTCATGGCTGCGATGCCTGTTGGGGCTTCGGCTTCTGCTGCGGCTACGCCTTCTCCTGTATCGGCCAAATAATTGGCGCCTCAATTCCCTGTCGATTATTAATCAGAGATACGTAAGTCGTTAGATACAGAACCAGAATGGTCATGCATAAGGATTGCTGATATAACTATTAGGGATTGCTTTGAAAATCTTGTTACCTGCTGATCCTTTTTAAATGCATGAAGTTGCAGTATCCACCACGGTTGCAAGTATTCTCCTCATATTGCCTGCAGGTGGCTTCTCGGAAGTCTGTGACAGGGGAGAAGTCGACAATAATTGGACGACCTGCAACGATTCATTTCAACAAATTATAAGACAAAACAAAAACGATCACAAACAAATAACAAGCCATTAACTAATTTTCAAATAGAGCAAACAGGTGAGAACAGCCTCCACACCTGCATAAAATCTCCCAGTGAGATTCTGAAGTGCATTTGCAGCATGCTCTTCCTCCCGAAACTGAACATACACATTACCAACCTGCTCAAACAGATAAATAGAACACAGATAAAAAATTCAGATACGAAACCCACCAAGATAAGGAGCAAACAAATATCCAATTCTCATTCCAAAACAACTTACCATGTGGTCAGCCAGATTGTCGCAGACATTCAGGCTCTCAAGTTCACCATACTTGCTCAGTTCCTCAAAGAGATCTTCATAGAAGTCCTATAGTTTCATATTGAACAGCTTCAGTATTTAAACGGAAAAGAAAGACTCAAAAACACTTTCAAATGTATGCAAATCAAAAGGGAATAAATTTATTCTCACAAATTCATCAACTCCTCAAAGACTAACTTTCTCCACTGTTATGATTAATTTTAAATGTATCAAGATAATATTCACCAAATTTACTCACAAAAATATCATTTCTAGGAAAATCAACAATTTATTTATTCAAATATTAACATAAAAACTGCATCCCAATCAAACTTGAATCCGTATCTAAATAAAAAAAAGCACGAATCAATCTACCCCTAAAAAATAGAAACTTAGCTCCAGCTAGAGAGTGCATATGTATAACTAACACATACGTGAATCAATCTATCCCTATAAAAATAGAAACTTAGCTCCAGCTAGATAGTGCATATGTATAATTAACATATACATGAATAATCATAGGACAGACCTAAATAGAAGAAAAACCCTAACTTGACAAAAAGGAAACAGCCATGTTAAAAAAAAAATACCTCGAAGTGATCCTGGATCTTACGGGGATCGATGGACTGGCCCTGGACGTCGACGCCGGGGGTGATCATATCAGGTCTCTGGTACATGTTGGATAGCAAGAGAGTGGGGCTTATGCTGGGTTTGGTGTGCAGACGCGAGCACCGGTCGCCATGCCTACACGCACCTATCTTGAAGTAGAAAGGACAGTTCACCCTGTCCTTCTCCGTTCCGAATATCGACGCCAAGTGCTCCGCCATTTTTGAGAATCAACGGATTGTTGGCACCTTGGTACGGCGAGATGGGATTTGAGTTTCCCGAAACACAGAAGATAACGAAGGAAAAAAAAATGACAGAGCAGCGGCGTGAGGGTTTGGGACTTATTTATACCGGTGTTTGTTTGGATCGGACGGTTGAGATAATTGGATAAGTGGATTAGAGGCTTTGTGATGTAAGCTGAGCCGTTGGATTGTCAGAAAAAATTTAGTTCGTCCAAATTACTATGTCAATAACGTGAATAGGTTTAATTGCCAAAA